GCATCTCCCCCTCCTCCCCTCCTGGAAGCTGTGCTTGCTCAGCGCCTCTGCTTTAACCTCAGAAAGTTTGGCCTTGGGTTGGTTCTTGAGGCAGCTCAGATATGTGCTGCCCCTAACTTTTGATGGGGCAATGAGAGATTAACGGTGCGTCCCAATAAAGATGGCAGTTTGAACTCTGCACTGACCAGATAAAGTAAGGCAGTTGTCGTGGAGGGATATCCAATTTATTGCATAAAACGATAAGGCTGTGCATGACAGGAGAAGGAATTGAAGAGAAGAAATTGCAAGCCGTAATATTTCCTCACCCCGCAACCCAACGAGAGGCAGCTGGAGTTGCAGCTTCAGCAGCCAAACGTTCCTTACCCTTATCCTTTTCTTCCAACACACTTTTGTTAGGGTCTCATTTGTATAAATTTCCTTTTTCCAAATTTCTGATCTAGCTCGGCTTGAACATTTAAAGTTCTCCAGTGCCCAGCAGAGGGTGCTGGTCATATTCTCTTGGTGAACGTAAATTGCAGCGTATCCAAATCGCCATAGCAGAGCGACGACAACAGCCTCACAAGAGATTGGAAGCATTGAGCAGAAGTGCCTGAAATGTCTCCTTGCGTCTCTCCTTTCCCCGTCTCCGTGCAGTAATATGAATCTCATGCAGCCAACATTTATTTTTCCTTGCAGATTTTGGGGCTGGAAGTTTGGTAGAGAGAAGCATCTTCATGCTTGAGATGAAAGATGGTGGGTGTCTAACAAAGTGCACTCTAACCTCTGGATGGGAGAGACTTTCTGCTGCCCACCAGGCCATGGCTTTTCCACCAGCCTTGCCCCCCAGCCCTGGGAGCCTTCCCTAGACCATGACTTTGAGAATAGCAGAAGTAGCTAGGAAGGGGGAAGAGGAGTTCAGGGATATTTAAAAAAACAATTTTATAAGTTGTGGGTCCTTGTTTCTCCATCTGATCCTTTTACATGGTCTTGTAGGTTTTGGGGCATTTTATGGGACGCAGGTGGCACTGTGGGTTAAACCACAGAGCCTAGGACTTGCTGATCAGAATGTCGGCAGTTTGAATCCCTGCGATGGGGTGAGCTCCCGTTGCTCGGTCCCTGCTCCTGCCAACCTAGCAGTTTGAAAGCACGTCAAAGTGCAAGTAGATAAATAGGGGAAGGTAAACGGTGTTTCCATGCGCTGCTCTGATTCGCCAGAAGCGGCTTAGTCATGCTGGCCACATGACCCGGAAGCTGTACGCCGGCTCCCTCGGCCAATAAAGCGAGATGAATGCCGCAACCCCAGAGTCGGCCATGACAGGACTTTACCTTTACCTTTATGCATTGTAGCTTGTGATTATTTTTATTGATTATCGCTTAGAAAATCTTTATTATAATTGATAAGTGCCATTTGCTAGTATTAAATTTTACTGTTTACTATTACATTCTAATGGATAATTGAATGTTGCTTTATTTGATATAAGTTGTTTATTTTAAAGTTATTGTGACTTTTTTGTATTGGATCAGATTGTTATTACGTGTGTGATCTTTGCTGTCTTATTTTGCTGCTTCTTCATCTTGTAAACCGCAGTGCGTATAGTAATAGAGAAAGGCGGTACACAAATTGAAAATGAAATGAAATGAAATTTTCATGGCGCTCTCAAAGAACTGGCACATAGATTGCTCTAGTGTTTGAGACTGAAATGGGTAAAATCTCCGTCCTTGGAGACTGGTGATTCAAAGGCGCAAGCTGCTCAGATCTTGAAGGTAGCATATAGTCATCCCATCTAGCAGCCTTTGATAGCTTTATTCTCTCTGAATTTCTCTAATCCCCCTTTTAAATCCCACCAGTAAGAATGTAAGGGGTCCATTGGTTACATAGAAGCTGCCTTGGACCAAGTCTTCCCATGGACATCTAGCTGGGCCCTGTATGAACAGGATGATGGACTAGATGGGCCATTGGCCTGATCCTGCTTCCAGGCTGCTTCAGACCTGTTGGCAATGATCATAGATGTTTGGTTTCCCTCATCTCCTGATGAACAGCCCTGTGCTTTGAAACTTGTTGGAATTGGAACTTTATAATTTGAATTAATACACCCATCTCCTGTGCCTGCTGGGTTTTCCATTTTATTCCTCTTTCGCCCAGCCCCATTCCCAGTGTAACATATTCTGCAGCTTGCCCCTGGTGCTGGGACTGAGGCATGATGACTGATCAGTGGCTGTTGGATCAGAGTATTGAAGGACACAGCCTCATCCTCAAGCGACCAGCCTTTCTGTAGAGGTCTGGCTGTAGCAAGACAGATCTGTACTCTGCACTGCCTGGTTCTCCTTGAGGCATTTTCTTTTGCAGCAGCAAGAGACGGGGCGCTGAGCAGGCCGAACCATCTGTCCAACCCTCCTCTGGCGGCCTTTATCGCTGTGCCCTTACGCGTGAAATCATGCGGCTGCACGTTTCCGAGGCATGCCTTGGGGGGGGGGAGTGATTAGGCTTAATATATTGGCCCCATCTTCCTCGCTCGGGATTATCTGTTTTTTAGGGCGTGCTGTGGCTCTAAGGGCTGTTTATATATATAAAAAAACCCAATCCTTTGATCCTTTAGCCAGATGTAAGTACCATCTAATCATTTGGGCCAGGATTACGGACTTTGGACATCTTGGTTCGTTTTGCGCTCTTAAAAACCAGGTTCTTAAAATAAAAGGAGTTTTTGGAAGGGGTGTGTGTTTGTGCGTTGGGAGGGGAAGGAAAGCTAAAATGTTTAAATGCTGCGCAATGTGCAGGGAGTCAGTACTCCAAATTGCAGAGACAGAAGGCAATCGCCACCACCTCCGGCTCAAGTGCTGCAAAGTTGCAGGCGGGGAGAGCTGGGGGCAGCTGTGCTGAGCCACATCTGGCCTCGCGGACAGTGGTAATGGCCCGGTTGATTTCCATTTATCCATGAGCTGAATCCTTTTGTGCAGGGAGCCTCACTCCTCTCGGTTAGCTTGAGGGGGAATTGTAAGCGAGAAGAGCGAAGGGAAGCCCCACACCCCTCTGGGAGACGGGACGGAGCAAGCTGCCTTCTTGTGGCCTGTTTTTCATTTAGCTCTTGTCTGTGCAGCTGGGGCTGCTTTTTGAAGACAGTTGGGTCCTTTGATGGGGTTTCCTCAGCCCTGTTCTGCAGATAAGCTGTTTTGATTTATGCAAGCATCCCTGTTCCCAGATGCTGTCGTGCAGGAAGGAGTCTTCTTCCCTGTTGGAATAGCTGGATTAGATCTCCGCAAAGCCTGTTTTCAGTGTGTGTAAAAGCGTCTTAATTTATGCGAATCCAGCTCTTTAAAGCCCTTGAAATGGCAGTGCTGTGTGGCACCAGCGGGGAGCTCGCTTTGCCACCTTGTAAATTCAACTGCTTGATGTCCCTGAGAAAGAGGCAGAGGCGTAGCTAGGGGGGTCGGGGGGCACTGGGCGGCACACCGTGGGGAGCGACACTTACCGCGGGGCCTGCAGCACGCCCAAGCCACGTGTCTCTCCTGCCTAGCTACGCTGCTGGAAAGAGGCATCTGGAATGGGACCAACCCACTTTACAAAATGCGCCGTTCGGGACACCTGAGAACGCTGGAGGCGACAGCCTCTTATCGGAAGCCGCAGCCCTTTCGAACACTGGCTGCCTTTGTGGGGGCCATCTCTAGAGGCAGCCAAATAAGGTCACCTTCCAAAAGGTGCACATCAGAGGAAGGTCTTAACAGATCTCTCTCCCTTGAGTTTCCCTTGTCAGGTGTGTAAACCTGCCTAGTACCACACTGCCATCTGTTCCCTAGCTTTGTAGGGAAAGCTGAGCCAAGAGAGATGAATGTTGCATATCTGCCGTAGTGGCGCAAGCTCCTGCTTTGGTCTTGAAGCAGGAAGATCAGCAGTGTTTGAAATTAGCCAGGAGCCAGGAGCATTTTGCTCCTGGCCTTTGACCGCTTGCAACCCAAGTGAAGATGCCATCATCTAGAGGTGGGATCATTGGATCTGGACTATTTTCACACACTAATACCCCATCCTGTAGAATTCTAGCGCAGGAACCTGTTTCCCTATAGTTGTTGGACGACCACTCCTATCACCCCTGGCCATTGCGCCATGCTGTCTGGACCATTCGGGAGTCCAGCTACACTTGGAAGGCCACAGCCCCCTCCCCATTCTAAATTATCTGTGTTTATTGCTTTGCTGTATTTTGAATTGTTTTCATTTGTTTTTAAACAGTACGCCACCTTGATAGTACTTTTGCTCAGAAAGGCAGGATGTACTTAAGCAAGTACTATGCTGCTGTTCCTTGTATTTTTAACTTCTTTTCAGGTTTTATTTTAATCTTTGTAGTTTTGCACTTTAAAAATGAATTACAAGCCATTTGCAAGCCAGTCACGGTGCTGAGGTGGGATAGACCTTCACAAATCCCCATATTTAGGCTCACAGGCTGCCAGTGCTATAAACCAGCCAGGTGTATTTTCTACTCACACAAGTCCAATTGTGGCCACATGGAGACTTCTGGATGCCAGGCTGGCGACTGGGGAAAGCAAAATATCACTTAGAGAAGGATCTGAAATATTTTCCTTGAAGCTTGAATTTGTTTTATTTGATGTTTTAACGTCTTGTAAACCGCTTTCAGATTTGTCCTTTAAAATATAGTGCCATAAAAACAAAATTAAATGAATAACAACAACAACAAATCTCACTGCAAAAAAAGTGCCTAGGCATTCCATTGTGGCAACAGTAACGCAGGTTTAAGCTGCCATTTGGTGATAAGATTATATATCTGAGTTTCTAACCCTGCAGGCTGCTACAGAACGTGCGGCACTTTCTCCCTTGCTCCTTCCCTGCAAACTACTTTGCTGGGCGGTGAATACAGCCTGCCCCTATGGAACTGGGTGCAAGAATGGCATGGCTGGCTACTGGTAAAAACAGCTGGCTACCAAACTCAGTCAAAAGTTGCATACCCTAACCCTAACCCCAGCCCTTTCAGGGAAGTACACTTTGAAGAGGCTTATGCAGCCTGAATGTTAAAACCCCATGAAGAGTGAAAATGAAGGCAGTGAGATTCCTCCCAGTTGATGAGACTGTCTCTGTCTTTTTAGGTACGTCAGCGACTGGACCAGCTGCTGTGGTCGAGAATGGCGACCATGGAATAGAAGGCACCAGGAAGGGTAAGATTTCAGTGGCCCTTATTTGTCCATCCCTTGATGATGAAAGGGAAATATTGGAACCACGTGGGCTTCTTACCTCCTTTCCAAAAAAACCCCCAGTTTCTTAGCCATAGCTGCTGAACAGTATACAAGGCAACCTTTAATACGAACAGGTATCTCACAAAAATGTATGGCATCATCAAACATCTAAGGGGAACCTAGATTATATTATCCCAAGGATTAAAACATTTCTGGAACTGTAAGGTACATGAACCAAATTCTCCATAGAGGTTAATGTTACCCCCATACACGCAGAAGTGAGTATGCCACACCCCCTGCACAGTTCAAAAGTTGTTATCAATATAATCTAGGTGAGTCCTGATGGTGCCAAATGCATTTTGGCTTTAGCAGTCTTCGGTGGTATTCTTTCCAAAAGAAGCAATGCTTTCTGCATGAGTCCCGGAGGGCAGTGGCAGTTAATGCATTAATGCTGCAGTAGCCTTTTCAGACACAATAATCTAAATTGATCTATATGCTGAGCCATATCTCCAAGACTGTAGCGGCATACAAGAGTCCAATTATACACAATCTCAAGCCTTATTTTTTCCTGAAACCTGCAGCTGCTATCTTTGGAAGTGAGTGAGATGTATACCTTATTCATTAGTTATATTAAAAAGTTCACTTACAGCTTCACTTTTTGTGCTTTTGTTTAGTAGTCATTGAAGAGGGTCTCACTCTTTTTGGTTTGAGGTCTTCCCTCCTAGTCATTGCTCAGGGACCTAAGATTAGGGCTTTTGTGTGTGTTTATTTTAAGCATGGGATTATATCCTTCCAGGAGCTCCTTACTTGATGTAACCTTTTCCCTTTACTGCAAAGTGTTGTGTTTGTCTTGTCCTGTTGCTAGCGTTTTGTGAAAGACTTTTCTGACCCTCGTAGGAGTCCCACAATCCAGGAAGTTCTTCCTCTTCCCCTCCCACCAAACCGCTCTTCTGCTTCAGAACAACTTTTGTAAATCAGTTTAGAAAATGCCATTGAGCATGAAGATGTTTCCAGGAGGCATCTCGTGGGCCTCACTGCCTCCGATCGCTGAGAGGTGTTGGGTTCAAACTGGCTTCTAGTGTCTCATTAAGAAGGATGCTTTTAAAATGTAACTCAGGCTGAACTCAGGTTTGCTTCTGTGCTGTTGAGTCACTTCCATATCTGCCCCCACCCCACTGCCTCTTCAGTGTGCAAGGAAGGACCTCCCTTAGAAACAGCAGGTGCTGTTCACCTGGGTGTGATTATGAACTCTTAAATCTGCTTGTGATCTGGAAGATGGGTATGCAGGCAACCTGCACATCCATGCCCTCTTTAACATTTCGGCTTGTCTAGTGGTTCTTTTTTCCGTTATTTATTTTAAGGATTGATTTATTCCAACATATTTATGCTGCCTCTCAGGGCAAAGCCCTGCCAATGTGGGTCACACAAGACAGTTAAAACAGAGCACCATTCTTTCAATATATGTAGTGCAATCCAGTTCTAAAAATAAAAAAGCAGCTATTTAAAAGACAAAATTAGGCCCACTTTATTCCAGGTGTGCACTCCTGCTTCAGAACTCAAGTATCTTGCGGGTTCAGATCAAGGACTATCTAGTGATGCTGGCTGGAGCTGATAAGAATTGTAGCCCAGCAACGTCTCAAGGGCATATTGGCTGCCTCTTCCACCAACTAGTAGTGGACACCAATTAGATGACTTCAAAGGCAGAGAGGGGCATGGAGGAAAAGGCTAACAATGGCTACTAGCATTGCAGGGGGTTGGACTAGATGTCCCTTGGGGTCCCTTCTAACTCTACAATTCTCTGATTCTATGGCTTATGTTTCTACCTCCAGTGTCAGAGGCAGTATGTCTCTGAATAGCCGTAGCTGGGATTTGCAAGTGAGGAGAGCTCGATTCCTCCTTGAGGGCTTCCTGTAGGCGTCTGGCTGGTCACTGTGAGAACAGGATTCTGGACTAGGTGAGCCATTGGCTTGTTCCAGCTGCAGGGCATCTCTCACGTTCCTATTAGGTTTTCCCAGCCTGGTGCCCTCCAGATGTTTTGAACCACTCCCATCAACCTCAGCCAGCACCGATGGAAGTTGTAGACTAGCAATATCAGGAGGCCATCGGGCTGGGGAAGGCTGCACTAGATTGCCCATTGGAAAGTTGGCTAGTGGCCTACTAGGGGAAGACCATCTACTTCATGCCCGCCTGATACATTACTTGCAGAAACAGTGAACCCTGAGGATCATTGTTGCCTATGAACTTTCCACTATTGGCTACCCAGAATAGCAACTTCCCTCTGCAATGCATTCATATCTCTTGACTTCACAGACTTGTAATTAGAAATTGTGATGAAATCCTTGTAGTCTCTGTGGCTTTCCTCTGTTTCCCCAATTTTTCACACCTTCAGCCTTTTCATGGAAGCCTTTTGCACTCACCTATATGAACAGTTCCTGAGCTGGTCTCAAAGCCAAGTAGGAGCCCAAAGTGTCTGACCAGACCGAGGAGTACCTTGAGGGGTTGGGTTAGCGACCCACTTCCGATCACATTGAACTCCTCTTCAGTGAGGAATAAGAAGGGTAAAGCTGAACTGGCGATAAATGCAAGGATGAAGGTCCAGCTGGTGCAAACTATCCATCCCCTGGCTTGAATTTGTTTAGCAGCTGCTGCCCTTGTTCTGCCCATAGAATTCATGCACCCAGCTGCCTAAAAGCCTTCTCTCCACCCCACCCCAGTCTACAGAGCGTCCCCCACACTGGCACTGCCCGTGTGCCCCCTGCCCATCTCCAGCAGTTGATGGGCAACCTGTGGCCTTCCACAGATGCTGTTGGACTCTAGTTCCCATCATTCCTAGCCAGCTTGATCCAGTGATCAGAGATGATGGAAGTTGTAGTGTAGCAACATCTGGAGGACCACAGATTTCCAGTCCCTGATTTACAGCCTAGATGAGCTTGTGCTTCCTTGCTTCATTTCTTTAGGAGCGTTTAGGTGCGGCTATAAATCATCACCCTCACATTTTGTATGTGTGTCTGTGTGTTGGGAGAGGGCTGCTTATGGTGTCCCGTGTACCTACTGATGATGGGTGCTGGCATCTCAGTCCTGCCAAGCTGCATTGTTCCAAGCACAGTGAAAGATCCTGGATGTGTTGTGCATGGTGTTGATGGAAGCCCCCCCCCCCAGCAAGCTCTGGATTATTTTCCTGCCTTGCACAGCAAGGCAAAGATCTACGCATTGAGAAGTTCAGGCAAGGAGAGATATTAATTTACAGTTTGCTTATTTTAACGGTTTACACAATACCCACCATTTCAAAACACACAAAAAGAAAAAGAAACAAAAATTAAAACACATTAAATCTATCTGCAGAGCTAGCAAGGTGGCAGTATCTAACAACGCTACCTTGGAAAAGCTTGCCTTGAATGAAAACATCTAAAAGAACAGATTGTTGGCGCCATCCTAATTTTAGGAGAGGTGATTACACAGAGAAAGATGCGCAGGCGCTTAAGAATAAAAATAAGGAAAATACAGCTTTTCTTTGGCTTTGAGTAAATATTTTTAAAACCCTGGCAGCCTGCTGGCTTGCTTTTGCAGCCTTACAATGGCTTGGCATGCGCTACATAAATCATTCTCTGCAGATTGGAGGGAATGGCTGCAGAGGTTGGAGGTGAGTAGTGAAAAGGGAGATACTTTCTTGAGGCAAATATCTGCCTGGGGCATCTTAAGGGACCAAGATAGTTCAGAAGATGGTATGGGCGTGGCTCCTCTTTCTGCAGTCGTATCTGCTATCTGTGTTAGTCTACAGCTGAAATGAGGGGAGGGAGACAGATGTTTGCCGTTGTCCTCATGTCAGAAGTGATGCATTTGAGACAACCCACACAGGAATCACAAGTAACTATAGGCTGCATGGTTGTCTGACTGCATAAATTGTCTCAGGGCCCAAAATAGGTGGCTTATGGAGAAATAGAGTAGGTCAAGTCACCTGGGCCTCAATACCTCTTTGTGATGGCAGGATCATGTCTTAAATCAGGCTTTCCAAGCTGGGCATCTCCAAATGTTGCTGGATTCCCAGTTCCCATTAGTCCTAGCCAACATGCCCAATGGTCAGGGATGGTAGGAGCTGGAATCCCCGAACCTCTGGAGGGCACCAAGTTGGCAAAGACAGCTATCTTCTAGAATTGCAGAAAGCCCATTTTAAAAACACAGTTTTAACCCCTTTTGGTATGCAGTACCATGCATTATGAGGGACGCGGGGCTGTGGGTTAAACCAAGCCTAGGTCTTGCCGATCAGAAGGTCGCGGTTCGAATCCCCGCGACGGGGTGAGCTCCCATTGCTCGGTCCCTGCTCCTGCCCACCTAGCAGTTCGAAAGCACCTCAAAGTGCAAGTAGATAAATAGGTACTGCTCCGGCGGGAAGGTAAACGGCGTTTCTGTGCGCTGCTCTGGTTCGCCAGAAGTGGCTTAGTCATGCTGGCCACATGACCCAGAAGCTGTATGCCGGCTCCCTCGACCAATAAAGCGAGATGGGCACCACAACCCCAGAGTCGGTCACGACTGGACCTAATGGTCAGGGGTCCCCTTTACCCTTACCATGCGTTATGGTAGAAGAATCATAGACTCATGGAGTTGGAAGGGACCCTGGTGACCATCTACTCCAACCCCCTACAATGCGAGGAACACAGTGTGTCTGCGTAGGGTGTGTTTGCAGCATGGCGTTCCGGCTCAGTGGAATAAACCCAGTCTAGGAAGGGCAAGAGGAGCTCCAGCCCCCTGTGGCGCATGCCAGCTGTGGACTGTGTGTGTGTGTGTTGAGTTGTGACATTTCTGTAGCGACACTCTTCCAATCTGTTGTCTTATGTGGCCTTCAGGAATGGTTCCCGGCACGTTGTCTTGTGAGCTGGTGGTGGGAAGGACCAGGTTTCTTAGCTGCAAACATCCAGGTTCATCAGGCAGCTCCAGAACACAAGACGATCAAATGTCCTGAGACTCAGAAAATGCTGGGCATCGCT